AAACAGGGAATTTTTTTTTTCTTATGGGTTCAGAGGAATTAAGTTATGCCACAATGGTTTTAGGACAACATGATGGCAGATACTTTATTTTTGATTCACATAGCAGGAATTCTACAGGACTCATGGACCCAAATGGCAAAGCTACTCTTTTAGAACTGCGCTCAGGAAGTGAACTTGTGATCTATCTAAGGGCTTTGGCATGCTCTTTAAATTTAACCGATGACACTGCTTTTGAAGTAACGCCCTGCACAATTAGACTTTCGAATGAATTGTTCCCATTTGAATTGAAATCTTATTTTGAACAGCAGAGGAAATATGAAGATGTGCAAAAGAAGGAAAGAAGAAAGGAACAAGTTAAGGCTTACAAATGTCAATCAATAACTAAAACAAAAAGAATAAAAAGAGATGCACAATATAGAAGAAAAATAATGGTAATGTTGAAAGAAAAAGACCAAAAAAGCACCTATCGTTCAAAGCCAAGTGTACAAGAGAAAATGAAGGAAAGTAAACAAATGTACAGGGCACAAGACCATATCAAGGAACAAAAAAAGGTAAAAGATGCAATCTATTTCGGACAAGAAGGAGTAAAAAGTGCAAGGCGCAAAAGGGAGCAGATATTTCTTGCAAACCCAGAGAATAAATTAAAAAAGCAGGCACAACAGAAATCTCATAGATCTAAGGAAGAAGTGCGACAAAAGATACGGGAACGAGATTCCATAGGTCGTAAAGTACCAGAAGTGAAGGCTGCTAGACAAAGAAGGGAGAGGATATATTTATCAAATGAAGAAAAGGCATCAAAAAAGCTAGCACAACAAAGGCTACATCGATCTGACAGGGAAGTAAAACAATATATACAAGAACGAGACAGTAAACGACGTACAGAAAAAGATGTTAAAGCAGCTATACAAAGAAGGGAGAAGATATATTTATCAAATGAAGAAAAGGCATCAAAAAAGCAGGCACAACAGAGGCTACATCGATCTGACAGGGAAGTAAAACAATATATACAAGAACGGGACAGTAAACGACGTGCAGAAAAAGATGTCAAAGAAGCTAGACAAAGAAGGGAGAAGATATATTTATCAAATGAAGAAAAGGCATCAAAAAAGCTAGCACAACAGAGGCTACATCGATCTGACAGGGAAGTAAAACAATATATACAAGAACGNATATCTAGCAAATGAAGACAAAGCATCAAGAAAGCAGGCACAACAGAGGCTACATCGATCTGACAGGGAAGTAAAAAAATATATACAAGAACGGGACAGTAAACGACGTGCAGAAAAAGATGTCAAAGAAGCTAGACAAAGAAGGGAGAAAAGATTTCTTGAAGATCCAGAAATATCATCACAGAAAAAGGCAAAACAAAAGTTGCACCGTTCTAAGATTGAGGTGAGAAGAAAAATACAAGAAAGAGAAAAAAGATATTTGGCTTCAAAAATTGTTCAAGCAAAGAGAAGAATTGTAAGAAAATTATACCATTCACAGAAGGGAATACAAACAAAAATACAAGAAAGAATGAAAAAACATCATGCACAAGAACACATTAAGGAGCAAAGAAGGAAAAGGGAGAGAAGTTGGAGGAAGAGTAGATCAGGAATATATTCCAAAAGATTGAAAATGCAAAAACTGAAAGAACAGCAAACAAATGTACGTTGTGCTATACAAAATTTCCAAAAGAAATGTGAAGAAATTCCTGAGTTTGTTTGCTGTTGTTGCAATCGTCTTCGCTTCAGGAACCAAGTGCAAGCTTTTAGGAAACAAAATTATACAGAGGATATATTAATTTTGAGCAAAATCATTGATATGGGAGCACAAAAGAAGATATGTACCTACTGCCATCAAAAAATGTCTAAAAAGAAAGTATCACCTATTAGTTATAATGGAAATAACATTAAATCTATGGACATGCCAGGAGATATTGGTACTTTAAATCCAATTGAACAATTACTTTTAACTCCAGTAATACCTTTTATGAAAATTGTTTCGTTGCCTAAAAGCCAACAGCATGGAGTCCATGGCCCTATTGTGTGTGTACCAGCTAATGTGAAGGAAACAATTACAAAATTACCTGCCTCTCCACGTGAAAGTGGACTCATTAGAGTAAAACTAAAACGGAAGCTTGGATACAAAGGGCATCATCTGTATCAGAAAATAAGTCCAGGAGCAGTGAAAAAAGCGTTTGATTTTCTTTCAAAACACCATCCTGATTTCTCTGGTAAGTTAAAAATATTTAATGAATTTAAAGTAAAATTTTGCTATATTGTAAATTGAAATTTATATCAAGGGTGTATATTAATGAAATATAAAATGTAATAAGAACATAAAACTGTTGGAATAATAGGACATGAATATAAGTTAACAATAGTATTATTAGAAAGTATGTATAATAATCAATATGATTTGTAGGTATTGTCTATGATGCAGAAGGGGTTAACACTACAATGGAGCACCTTACAAATGAGGCCAGTGATGAAACAGGTAGAGTTGATGACAATGAAATCTTGTTTGTTAATGGTGTAAATATCTAAGAATATAAAGCAATATTTTTTAATTATTTATAGGATAAATATGTAATTCTATCAAGTAACATTAAACAAGAAATGTAAGCATTAAAAGAAAATTAAGTTTTGGGATGTGTAGGTTACGCATAGCTAATTTTTCCTTCCCAAACAACACAAAATGTGGTAGGATTATTTATTTGCATATGTAGTGTATACCAATATAGCTATTAAAGATGATCATGAAATTTTCAGCAGGCAATAATGAAACTCTAGCTGTAGATGGTTTTGTTATTTCTAATTTCAGAGGAAAGCAGTGTAACTGTGAAAGATACTCAAGAACCTTTAAGTAAGAAAGAGTCAAACAGTAAGTATGAAAGTAACATTGCATAATATCTATCATGTTTTTTAGTATTTTGACCAAATTTCTGTGCTAAGAATTACTTTACTGTTGTTTCAGAATAAGCTTTTTTTTATAATTTTAGTGCAGGAAGATGTGGCTGTTGAAGATGATGCTGAAACTTTCAACAGGAAAGAACCAAACTGTACGCATGAAAATTATTTCTTTGTGATTTTTTTTATTAATTTGTTTACTGTATTAATGTGAATATTAATGATTTGTTTTATTTGTATGATTGATATCAGTAAGATTGGCAGAGTAAATAATGTAATTTTAAGTAGGCAACATTGAAGGTGTAGTTGCAATTTTTATGTTTGTAATTTTAGTGGAAACTAACATAGATGTGGTAGGAACTGCAGAAATTTCAAGTATGGAACAATCAAAAAGTAAGTATGAAGTATTTTATATTATTATTATCATTGCGTTGCTTTTCTTTTTTTATAGACAACAGGTGTGTTAAGAATTACTTTGTTGTCTCAAAATAAACACTGTTTTGTAATTTTAATGCATGGTAGTGTGGCTGTTGATGATGATTCTGAAACTCTAAGCAGAACTTTAAGCACTCAACAATGAAATTGCAAGTCGGAAAATTATGTTTTTGTAATTTCTTTTATGTAGTAATAAAAATGAGAAAGATTTTAAATATAACATAGTGATATCTTGAATTCCAAGTAATGCGGTAGGATTTTTTTTATGTTTTGTATTTTAACTTTTATAATGCTTGCTGGTTTCTTAAATATATAGGCAAAGTAATTATTATTTTCTTTTATAATTTAAGTGCAGGGCAATATGGGTGTTGAAGATGATGCTGAAACTTTGAATAGGAAACAACCAAACTGTAAGCACCATATTTATTTATTTATTAATTTTTTTTTTGTATTTTTTTAAAAATATATTTAATGTATTATATGTATAATAATGATGAGTTAAATATATATTTTCAAATTATTTTAAAATTTCTAATTAAGTGGATATCAGTTAGGCTGGCAAAGTAAAGAATGTAATGTCAAGTAGGCAACATTCAATTGTTATAGCTGTTCATTTTTTTTTTTTTTTTTTTTTTTTTTTTTGTAATTTTAGTGGAAACTAGTATAGATGTGGAAGGGAGTCCAGAAACTTCAAGTAGGAAACAATCAAACAGTAAGTATAAAATTAAATTGATTTTAACAATAAATGTCTTTATGTTATTATTATTATTTGTTGATTCCTTATATAGGTACACAAGGTAGCTGTGTTAAAATTGCTTAGCTGTAATGTTTTTTTTTTTTTTCATTCATAATTTTAGTGAAAACCAGTGTAACTGTGGGAGAGAGACAAGAAATTTCAAGTAAAGAACAATCAAGTGGTAAGCATGAAAATAATATTGCAGTTTTACTTAAGTTACCTTGGTTTATTATTTATGGATTCTATAAACATACAAATAAAATGCTGGTGGACACACACATATGCTCGTAAAAAATACCTTGCTTTGATTGTGTAAATACACAGATTAGATGGCAGTGTATGTGCAGATTTAGTAATTAAAAAAAAAAAAATTTTGCTATCATTTGTTTATTGTTTATATATCATATGTATTAACAAATGTAATTATTTTTTCAGATAATGCAGAGGATGAAGTAACAGAAACAAGTGCTCCACTTGTAACGTGCTTACAACCAGAAGATTTGGCTCAGCATATATCAGATAAGTACGAAGACAAAATATTATGTTTTGCTCCTTCAGAAAATCAGCATCCTGAGTCTACATTCAACAAAGAAGTTCAGTCTTTCCCAATTTTGTTTCCAAACGGAAAAAATGCCTTTTCTGAAAGACGAGAATACAAGTTGTCATTTAGTCAATATATCAAAAGCAGACTATTTTCTGCAGATACCAAATTTGCTATGAATACACAATATATATTTTACTTACAATATATAAAGGAATTTCAAGAAGTTTTGTCTTCTGCAAAAATAAGTGAAAGGAAAGGTTCAGCAAAATCAAGCAACATTAGCACAGATAGTTTCGAAACAGAAGACTCATTAAAACAGGTGTTGAAAAATAATGAAGGTTACAAGTTTTTATCAAAAGTTAGAGGATCTGCACCATACTGGGAGCGAACAATGAAAGATTTATGTGCCATGGTAAAACAATTGGGTATCCCAACTTGGTTTTGTAGTTTTTCTGCAGCAGATAGACGATGGAAGGAAATTGTGTATGCTATTCTTAAATCTCAGGGAAAAGTAGTCCCTGATGAGATGGATTGGACAGAACACTGTAAGGTTATTAACAGTAATCCAGTTATTGCTGCAGCCATGTTTGATAAACGCAGTCATCATCTAATCCATGACCTAATCAAGTCTGCTTCACACCCAATTGGCAACGTGACTGATTTTTTCTATAGAATAGAATTTCAGCAAAGGGGGTGGCCTCATATTCATGCATTGTTTTGGGTGCAAGATGCACCTATTCTAGATAGATCTGAGCCAACAGATGTAGTAAGTTTCATTGACAAGTATGTTACTTGCCAGTTACCACATGAAGAGGAACCTTTGTATGAGAAAGTATCCAAATTACAAATGCATAGTAAAAACCATTCACGTAGTTGCAGGAAGGGTAATCAAACTTGTAGGTTTAATTTTCCAAGACAAGTATCTACCAGAACCTTCATATGTAAACCAATCAAGCTAGATGAAGAACAACCAAAACAAATTATAAGAAAAGAAGCTAGAGAAGCTTTGGAAAAGTTGGCAAAAATCACTAGTGACGAGAAGAACATATCCCTTTCTTCTCAGCAATGTTTAGAATTAGCAGGCATGACACAAGAGAGTCTTGAATATTCCATGGGTGTTTTAGCCAGAAAAACTGTCATAGTTTTAAAAAGGGAGCCTAGAGAATGTTGGATTAATCAGTATAACCCTCATTTATTAGAAGCTTGGGATGCTAACATAGATATACAGTACATAGTAGATGCTTATGCATGTATTTGTTATATAGTGTCCTACATCTCAAAAAAAGAGAGTGAAGAGGGTGAACTTCTGAAGGCTGCTCAAAAAGAGGCTAGAGAAGGTAACACTGAGGCTGTCAATGAGCTCAAAACATTAGGAAAAGTTTACATCACTCACAGGGAAATTAGTGTTATGGAAGCTATCTATAGATGTACAGGCATGAAACTCAAGTGTTCAAGTAGAGAAGTGCGCTGGATAGCAGCAGATAAAGATGCAACTAGGTTGTCTTTGCCTTTGAATATTTTAAAACAACAAGCCAAGGAAAAACGATTGGATAACATATGGGCTAAGTCAGATTTAGAAAGGTATTGGCATAGGCCTGATAGTAAGAAATTTGAGTTCATGTCCCTTGCACATTTTGTTGCCAATTATAGAATGTATAGTTCAAAACAAAGCAAAAAAAATGATATCTCAGATAGTGAAAATGATGAAAGTGATAGTGAAAGTAAGGACATTTCCTTATTAAACAACTACGGTTTAATTAGTGTACGCAAAAGACCCATTGTTATAAGATATTTAAAAGGATCAATTGACCGTGATCCAGAAAGATATTTTGAAAACAGATTGCGTTTGTTTTATCCTCATAGAGGTCAAGACATTTTACCCTCTGCATTTACATCATATGAAACCTTTCACAACAATGCTTGTTTTGTTATTAATGATGAAGAGATCCCTATTTATGAATTAGTGAACAGAAATAGTGCACCCTTTGAAAAAGATGCAGAGGTAATTGATATTGCTCTACAACGATCCCATGATGATCATGAGGATGCATGGGCTGATATTGCTCCAGGAGCTGAAGAACAAAGAATCGATGATAAAATGGACCAAAACTTGTCCACTATAGGTGAAGATGCAGTTGAGGAAGTTCATCTCCCAGATTTAGAAGCAGCTCTACCAGATAAAATTGCATATAGAAAAGGAAATTTATTTAGCGAAAATCTTAAGTTACAGATTTCAACAAAACAAGCAAAAAATATGCTTAGGTCTATGAATATCCAACAACTACATATATTTAATTACATGCGAAATTGGTGCCTAGAAAAAAGTCAAGGAAAAAATCCAAAACCCTTCCACATTTTTCTTACTGGTGGAGCTGGAACAGGTAAGACCCATGTGATAAATACTTTTCGGTATGAAGCAGAAAACATTTTGACATCAGTAGACTCTCCTAATGAAAATCCAGATGATGTAAAAGTGCTATTAGTTGCCTACACTGGAACAGCCGCATTTAATATACAGGGTCAAACTATTCACTCTGCTTTTGCTATAAGAAGCCAAAAAGGTAAAAATAGGAAAAAATATGTCCCATTGGGAGAAGAGTTGCTAACAGAGCTTCGTGTAAAATACAGAAGTCTGCAAATTTTAGTAATAGATGAAATTTCAATGGTTGGTCAAAATATGATGATGAATATAAGTCAGCGACTGAATCAAATCAAACAGACCAACTCTGCCCAAGCTATTTTTGGAGATATCAGTGTTTTAGCAGTAGGAGATTTTTACCAAGTGGCCCCTGTAGCAGATAAAGCTCTTTATGTTACTGATCCAGGCCAACTTTATGAGTCAGAATGGAACAATTTTGTAAAATATGAACTTTCAATAATAATGAGGCAAAAAGATGATCAGCCATTTGCCAATTTGCTCAATGCCATTCGTACAAAGAAAAAGGAAGAACAATTGAAACCCCATGATAAAGCTATGCTTCTTGAACGTGTGAATGATCAACTTACAGCAGATTCAACAAAACTGTACATTTTCCCTAGGAACAAAGAAGTTGATGAACATAACAAACATTTATTAGAGACACTTTGTTCTGACATCATTTCAATAGAAGCAGCCGATATTATCCATTCACGGTCAGGACAAACAAAAAGAAAGAAGGTTCCTTTTGCTAAAGACTCTTTAGCTTTAAAACCATTGTTAGAAATTGCTATAAATGCAAGAGTCATGCTTACAACAAATCTAAATGTTAGTGATGGACTTTCAAATGGTGTTATGGGTACTGTTGTGAAGATTGAACAAGGGACGAAACCATTAAATCAACCACAGTACATCTGGGTGCATTTTGATAACCCCAACATAGGCGCAAATACCAGGCAACAAACAGTAAGACCTGAAAATATCCCAACAAACAGTGTACAACTCCAGCCACATGTAGAACTTTTTGACCATCAGTCAGTAAAAGTGGCTCGATACCAGTACCCTCTTAAGTTAGCATGGGCCTGCACTGTTCATAAAACTCAAGGGAAAACTGTTACTGATGCAGTGGTTTCATTAAAACATGTCTTTGCACCAGGTATTGGGTATGTTGCACTTAGTCGTGCAACTAAATTATCAGGTCTGCAACTTCAAAGTTTTGATCAAACTGATGAAGCCAACTTGTATTGTGACATTAAAGTAGATGATGCTATGAAGGCCATGAGTCCTCTTAACCCAGACATATTACCACTTTTAAGACCCTTACAGAAAACACTAACAATTGTATGTCACAACATCCAATCTCTACCTGCTCATTTCACAGATTTAAAAAGTAATCCAGAAATGGCTGTGGCAGATATTGTGGGTATTACTGAGAGTTGGCTACATAGCAATGTCCCGTCTTCTAAATACTCTATTCCTGGTTTTAAACTCATAAGATGTGATCGTCAAAATGATACCTCAAGAGGGGGAGTAGCTGTTTATATTCGCAACACATTGAAAGTAATGGAGGTCAAAAACAACTCTGTTACAGAGCCAGGTTTTGAAAGTTTAAGTATGACAATCAATGGTTATTATATAAGCTTTATGTACCGTTCACCATCAATTGTAGGTCCAGCTTTTAACCGTAAAATACAAGAAATTTTAAGTCGCAACAAACAGCCTATAAAACCATCAATCTTGTTAGGTGACTTCAATATTGATTTGTATAAAGCTCCTACAACATCTGTTTGTCTTCCTAGTTTACAATATCATAAGCAAATGATTGCCTCTCCAACATTTAGAGGTGTCAAAGGGTACACTAGCCTGTTAGATCATATTTATGTACAAAACGTAAGCACTATAGAAACGGGTACACTGTGCACATATTACAGTGACCATGATCCTGTATATGCTATTATACCCATCAATGCATAGTATATTAAATATGTAGTTATTTGTAAAAAAAAAAAAAACATTGTACATATGTAAGAATTGCTAATATAAATTATTGTACCACCAGCGTTAGCGCTGGCGGTACACATGGTTTCGGTCCTGTCCGGATCGTTCCGCCGGCTCCGCCGGCTCGCCGGCTC